TAATTGCCATTTTTTGCTTGGTATTGTTGTTTAGGCAAGTGGCGAACCAATATCTACTTTGCTGATTAATATGTCCAGGGGCTGACCCACATGGGGACGTTCGGGTGCTCGAGCACCCATTAAGTTCTTATCGAACTATATATACTTGTATCAAAATTTAAGAAGTATCGTATAAAATAAAAGGCGAGCACCCAATAAACAAATGACTTGGTTGGTATGACGGTTGTAAGTGGGTGCTCAAGGTCACATATTACTTCAATGCCCGGTTCGATTCCCACAACAAAATTCCTTTTTCAAGATAATTTTTATTCTATTTTTTCTTATTGATGTTTTAGAGCGGTGGGTCAGCGTATAATACGTCTAAATTTTGTTAGGCCAATGGAGGCTTTTGGATTGGAGTTTAATGGAGTCCTTGGCTATATTATTTCTATTTACATCAGACTAGATACTCTGCTATATTTGGCATTTTCATTGTTCCTGATTGACATTTGATGCTTGTTATTATTGTGTCCAGGGGCGAACCCACATGGCGTCATCCGGGTGCTCGAGTACCCATTAAGTTCTTATCAAACTATATATACTTATATCAAAATTTAAGAAGTATCGAATAAAATAAAAGGCGAGCACCCATTAAACAAATGACTTGGTTGGTATGTTGGTTGTAAGTGGGTCCTCAAGTCATATATTACTTCAATGCCTGGTTTGATTCCCTCTAGTGGCATTCTTTTCTTTTAAAATCAACTTTGCTAACTTTTCTTAAACAATTTCAAGATAATTTTTATTTTATTTTTTCTTATTGATTTTTTGCGCTAACTTATTTAAATATAATTTTCTTTAAAAATCAGCACTTTTCTTTCTACATTTTCTCTTTTCTCTTTTCACAAATTGTTCTATTGCCAATTAACCATTCAATTAGGATTTCGACTTTTCTCTTTTTTCTCTTTTCCCTTTTCCAAATTTGTTCTATTGCTAACTTTTCTTAAACAAAATGTTGTTTAGGCCCGTATCTAGTGACGCGGGCATTCACTATGCAGTAACTAGTTTGCTGATTAACCTTTCAATTAGGATTTCGGCTTTGATAGCCTGATGATATCTGTGTCAATTTTTTTCTTTTTTTTGAAAATCAACTTTGTTAACTTTTCTTAAACAAAATTAAATTTCTTTTTCAAGATAATTTTTATTCTATTTTTTCTTATTGATTTTTTGCGCTAACTTATTTAAATATAATTTTCTTTTAAAATCAGCTATTTTCTTTCTACATTTTCTCTTTTCTCTTTTCACAAATTGTTCTATTGCTAACTTTTCTTAAATAAAATATTGTTTAGGCCCGTGTCAAGTGACGCGGGGACTTACTATGCACTAATCAGCTTGCTGATTAACCTTTCAATTAGGATTTCGGCTTTGATAGCCTGATGATATCTGTGTCAATTTTTTTTCTTTTTTTTTGAAAATCAACTTTGTTAACTTTTCTTAAACAAAATTAAATTTCTTTTTCAAGATAATTTTTATTCTATTTTTTCTTATTGATTTTTTGCGCTAACTTATTTATTTATAATTTTCTTTTAAAATCAGCTATTTTCTTTCTACATTTTCTCTTTTCTCTTTTCACAAATTGTTCTATTGCTAACTTTTCTTAAATAAAATGTTGTTTAGGCCCGTGTCGAGTGACGCGGGCACTCACTATGCACTAACTAGCTTGCTGATTAACCTTTTATATAGGATTTTAACTTTTCTTTTTTTTCATCTTTTTCCTTTTCCAAAATTGTTCTATTGCTAACTTTTCTTAAACAAAATGTTGTTTAATTAGGCCCATGTTTAGTGACGCGGGCATTCACTATGCAGTAACTAGCTTGCTGATTAACCTTTCTGTTAGGATTTCGGCTTTGATAGCCCGATGACATCTGTGTCAACTTTTTTCTTTTCTTTTAAAATCGGCTTCGCTAACTTTTCTTTAAAAAAAAATTAAATTTCTTTTTCAAGTTAATTTTTATTCTATTTTTTCTTATTGATTTTTTTCGCTATCTTATTTAAATATAATTTTCTTTTAAAATCTGTTCTTTTCTTTCTACCTTTTCTCTTTTCCCTTTTTCAAAATTGTTCTATTGCTAACGTTTCTTAAATAAAATGTTGTTTAGGCTCGTGTCGAGTGACGCAGGCACTCACGTATTATGCACTAACTAGCTTGCTGATTAACCTTTCAATTAGAGATTTCGGCTTTGATACCCAGATGACATATGTGTCATTTTGGGTATTAGACTAGGTATGGCAAAGTTTATGGCAGACATAATGGAGGAGGAGGCTAATGCCACCACCGTGTTGCATGCTGCTGATGATGTGCCTTGATGAAGTTCAAGATGGTCTTGATGTGTGTGTTCTTGCGTCGTCAGGTTAAGCCACTCCACTTTCTATGATAATTTTGTTGTCCTTAGTATACATGGGTTAAATTGTGGCTATATGTGTTTGTTGGTAGAATCAAATTTAGCCATTATGAATTTTATGATGTGATGGAGGATAGCCGACACAATGGAGTTGGCAATAGCCGGCGCATACCTACTCTTTGGCCCGGTTCGATTCCCCCGCAGGAGTGTTTTCTTTTTTGTAGCTTGATGGTTAATGTTGTCATGATTGGCTCTAGGGACCCAAGTTCAAATCCTGGCTACACTAACTATTTTTTTCTCAATTAAAATTGAATTCCCCTTGGACCCATGAATCTCCCTTCTTCCCAAATTATGAACTATTGTATGTTGTAATTGATGATGGGAATTTGGCAATTAATTGTGTTTACATTAATTATGTTATTGAATCATGATAATATTTGTGGCATGTATTGAACTTATGATTCTTCTATATGTGCATAAAGGCTTTTAAACTTGAAAGAGCATGGTTTCAACTAAATGCCCCTTTTTGCAAGATTTAAATTTTTTTGCATGGCTTCCATACTTGGTACATTTTGTGCTAACCCATATTTTCGGGGGGTCGGGGGAAGGGGCGCAATGGAGTTGGCAATTGCCCGTGCAATCCTTCTCTTTGGCCTGGTTCGATTCCCCGCAGGGTGTTTTCTTTTTTTGTAGCTTGATGGTTAATGCTGTCATGATTGGCTCTAGGGACCCAAGTTCAAATCCCGCCTACACTAACTATTTTTTTCTCAATTAAAATTGAATTCCCCTTGGACCCATGAGCCTCCCTTCTTCCCAAATTATGAACTATTGTATGTTGTAATTGATGATGGGAATTTGGCAATTAATTGTGTTTACATTAATTATGTTATTGAATCATGATAATATTTGTGGCATGTATTGAACTTATGATTCTTCTATATGTGCATAAAGGCTTTTAAACTTGAAAGAGCATGGTTTCAACTAAATGTCTCTTTTTGCATGATTTAATTTTTTTTGCATGGCTTCCATACTTGGTACATAATGTCCTAACCCATATTTTCTATGTTTTCTACAAATGTAGGGATTGGTACTTGATGGTGGTATTCTTGGTTCAAGGCTTGGATTAGTTAGTTCCCCAAGCTTAGTTGGTGAGTCCTCGAGCTTCGAGGACAAGTGTTTTACATAGAAAGTTTCTTTTAGTATTTTCATTTAGAAACTATTGTAAAGGCTTTGTCCCTATTCGATTGTATTAGATGGTCAAATGAGACAAGGTCTAGACTCTTATTTTCATTTATGAAAAAGAAGTTGACTTCAATTATAAAGTTTTAATTTTTTTTGCATTTTTTTATGTCTTATGTGATGATGATTATGATAAGGGTTTGTACAAGTCCCCGAATTACTTGTAGAGGGTAACCCGGGTAGGGACAACATGCTAAGCCTTTCTTCTGTGCAGGCAACAACTGGAGAAAATTGTCTTAGATAAGCATGGAGATACCATGAGTAAAATCGGTGCTATTTTGGCTTCGGGAATTCTTGATGCTGGTGGTAGAAATGTGACCATAAAATTACTTTCGAAGACAAAGCATGACAAAATTACAGCAATCGTTGGACTAGCTGTTTTTAGTCAGTTTTGGTATTGGCACCCTCTTATATATTTTGTTAGCTTAGCATTCTCACCAACAGCCTTAATTGGTCTGAACTCTGACCTAAAAGTGCCAAAGTTTGATTTTGTATCACATGCCAAGCCCTCACTGTTTGAGTATTGTAAGCCCATCACTGTAACCACAACTACTTCTGCTGTCAAACTTCCCACAGCTGCTCTAACAACATCCGCTAGGGCCAAGGCAAGGGCTAGCAAGAAAGAGGCTGAGAAAGCCAATATCTAGAAGGCAGCTGGAGAGTCATCTTCTGGTGCAACAAATTTTGGTGAATTGATTCAAATAATGACTTATCTGGTGGTTCTAGCCGTACCTTAAACAGCAGCAAGGGACCTGTTCCTGCATCTGAGCAAGGGAGTTGTTACGTAGTCTGTAAGAACTGGATGTAAGATGTATAGCCACTCTATTTCTCAAGTTGGTTTGTAGGTCGTCTGCAGTGTTCCACCGCTACGACAAAACACATTGAGTTTGACTTCCATTTTGTTCTAGAAAAGGTTGTGGCCAAGGATCTCTAAGTTCACTATATTGGCTTGCTGGATCAAGTCGACGATACTATCAGGGAGAGCCTCTCTGGAAGATGATTTTCTTACCTTCGAGACAAGCTTGCTGTGGTCAAAATCCCAGTTGTTGCACATGATTTTTGTCTTTGTATTGGTTTTATATCATGAGAGTTCGTAGGACTCGAAACTCTATACATCATCTGTATAAGAGAGGCATTGGCCTACTCAATTGTACCGTGAGATTTCCTTCCAAATATACAAAGCGTTCAAAACCAAACGTAATAACAAATCCTTGGGCAACTTTTTCGAATTGCACGACTAATGCTCAGTTTTCATGATCCATTTTTTGAATTTAAATACGTAGGACATATGAGGATACCAAAATCTTATAGGTAAGAAGTCATAGAAACTAATGTGTTGCAACTTGCATACATTTGGAGTTGAAAGAAGGCAACTGATATTACCTTTCAACCTCCTTTTTAGGAGTCGGAGAAGCTGAAATCTTTTGCTCTGATCCTTTAGGCAATACCTGACCGAACATGAACCACAGGCCGCACATTTAGTGATAGGATATATCCACTACAAAGCCAATAAAATGGAGATAGATATGCATAGACAAGAGAATTTGTTCAGAGTTGATCTATTTGAACCAACCTTCTTTGATCCACTATATCTCGTATCTACTTCGGGTTTTCCTTGGTTGAAACTGCTTTGGAATGCCTTAAACGCTCGCTTGACAATGTCCTTATCCCCCATTCTCTCCATGATCAAAGATTTTCTCATTGTATTAGTAGAAGCTGTAGAATTTGGTGGACCTAGACTGAGAGACATGTGCAATGATGTGGGAGCTATCCTCTTGTTCTCTAGTGTGGAAGAATTTTTGCTCCTTTGCAATGTTGAACCATTCAACTTTTTTATCGAGGATTGAGAAGGTGAAATGAGTGATCTAGAAAGTAATTTATTGCCTTGTGCAACAGGAGCATTGCTGCTTCTTTGATATGACACCCCATTCACCTTCTTCACTGATGTTTGAGATGAAGAAATGACCTTGGAGGCTGGTGTCGGTTTTGACGTCGGAGTGGAAATGCTTGAAGATTTTGTCACAGGTGATGCAAGCTTCTTCTTTGTTCCAGCTGATATTCTGTCCTCTGTAGTTGGATGTACCTGAACAAGAACAACAAACAATTGATAACAGGAAAGGCAACCTGAACAGAGAGAATACCAAAGAAAATAAATAGAAGGATCTCAACCGAAGCACAGAGGAAATAACAGTAATGACAACAAAATAATGGGATAACCAAAGCACAAAAAAGACACAGGTAATAATCCGGAATCGATGAACAAGAAACTACAAGAATAGTGCTAATATGACTAGTAAGAAAGAAGGTCCAAGTACTACCACCAATCCTATCCCGCATGAAAGTGAGAGAACGCTCAACTACCAACTAACCTTCTACCCTAATTCACAACCTCCAAACCCTCATCTCGATCAACAAATACTTTTTTAACACCAATAGACAGAAAAGCATCAAAATTTCACCTTTCGAGCCACTCTATTTCTCAAGTTGGTTTGTAGGTTGTCTGCAGTGTTCCACCGCTATGTTTGTGTCCTTTTCTTTTTAGTTTCTTCACTCTTTCTTATGTTGTATGGGTTTAAACTGGAAGTTGTTACTTTTAAATGTATCTGTATCAATAAGGGGAGAAATCCCACTAGGGTCGTTGGTATTTGTAGATAGCTTTTTTTCATGTAACATTTGGTCTTGTGAATATTTCGTTCAAGTATGAAAAAAAAAAAAAAAACACCTGCAATATGTCCAATCCAAATACAGACCAACAAGACTAAATTTGACCACTGAAAAAAACAAAGGAAAATGCAAGCATCTTAACTTCATGATATTATAGCAAAAGACTAACCATGCATGTACATCAGGATTAGCATTTAGCTCATGGACCTCAGCTTCAGCTACATCCGTCTATATCAAAAGATTTAATGCAAAGCTAAGCACATGATTTTTACGTAACTTTGTGAATCCTTCCTATTTCCCACAATGACACCTGAAAACAACAAAAACTTGGATAGTTGAATATATACTGCATGACCATGAAAAATACAATTTCAGTGCGTCAATCACCAGCTTGAGACTTCAAATACATCATATACACACATTTACGTATATATTTCAATTATCTTCATCAAATGCACAAGTAATTACCAGATAAATACAGAAATTTCTGTACATGCACACAGATACACTTGCCATACTTTTCTGAAAGACGTTGGACTTCAGAAGCAATCTCAGAACGAATAGTTTGAGCAATTGCTTTACCATCAATGATGATGGCGATGCCATTTATCTTCAGACGACAGATAAATTGCCTATAACTTCAAGATTGCTAGTTTCAATAATAAAAAAAAATAGTTAGACTAGAATATATAATAGTAGGCATATTCAAAGTCAATGATCTACTACATAATTCAGTACCCAATCCATAACTTATAAACCAGCTAAGTTTAGTTTTGGTTGAACTCAGGATAGCATAGTATTATTTTCTTTCAGCAATTATGTGGTAGATTAACAAAGGCCATATATAAACCAAATATATATCATGCTTGTAGAGGTGAATTATGTAGGTACTAAAATATGCATAAATAATATTATCATGGTTCATAATTGGTTCGAAAGAGAAGTTATGCATATGTAAAATTAATATAATATTTAATTTGCAATTTAGAAAGCCACATAAAAAATACATATATAAGTTATGAGAGAATCTATGTATTTTTTATGCAGAATAAAAGATGGAGTAACTAATATTGACCAGATTCGAGCTGTATCGATCCGATTCCTTACCATACTGATAGGCTGATACATGTTGTATCATATCATCATATATTATTATGATCTATTTTTGTTCAATGTACTACGCCTTTTGATATTCTTTTTATCACCTTATAATCAGCAAAAAATTATCGATATTGTTTCTTCTCCTAAAAATCAATGGTTGACGTAGCTACTTATCTACATTAGTACCAAAATACGTATTAAATCAGAGGCGGATCTAGAATTTAAAGATTGTGGATGCCGTATCGCCATTAAATAGACGTTCAAATATTTAACTTATTTTGACCTTATAAATAGCTACTTGGAATTGTTGTTCGGTTATTCAACTTTTCAATTTATAAAGACAATTGAATCAAATAAATAAATAAATAATGACAATTTGGCACTAAGAAACACACTTCCAACAATATCCTCTATGATTGCACTTGGTGAATTTTCACATTCTAAATACACATTATTTATTTATTTTTTTACCCTCCCACCCATTTGCTTCCTTGGTGACTCGAACTCGCAATCTTCGGGTTGGAAGTGATGGGTGCTTACCATCCGAGCAACTCCCTCTCCTCCATTCTAAATACACTCAATAATGATATAGTTATTTATATTTATTAATAGTTCACGCTCTATGTAATAATGTAACAGACTTAAATAAAGTGGTTGGAATTATTGTACATGCACAATTTCAATAACAGAAATGAAGTATTATGTTGTTGTTTTGACTCGCAACAATAAAAAACTTAAAAGACCAATGAATTCATATGAGATTTTAGTATATTTTTCATGTCGCCTTTTAATGTAACATGCATTTTATTTTGCAATTTTAAATTCTCGATAAGATTTAAATTATCATATTCTAAACTATTTCTTTTTTCATATGCATTCAAATGATTTAGATAATAAAACAAAGGGTATGAGAAATTTGACACTGAGTTTCAAAACTATTGACAAAAAGAAAAGGAAATTTTGAGGGAGAATATCTAAAACAAATCTTAATCATTATATGACCATAAATTATTTCATTAAAGCAAAAGGAAAATTACAATTAAACTAGGTTCTAATAATAGAAAAGTAATATTCTTTTTGAATAATCTAAAAAAGAAAGGGTATCACATCAATTTAAAAAGTAGTATTTTATGTCTAAAATAAAAAAAGAGAAACAAAGTCAACAAATACAAATTTAGAAGTTTTATGTCATGTTAAGATATATATATAGTACAGCATATAACATCATAAATGATCATAGCCTAATGGTAATAGTAATTTTAACCCCAACACATTGCAAGTTCGAATCGTGATAGGGAACACTTATTTTTGCAAAAAGAAAAAAATGCAGAGCGTAGCTATGCAGAGTCGATCTTGCATGTCTGGGGAGTAAAACTTGACCTCCCGCTACTGGCACCATGCGATTCATCTGTTTTCTGGGTGACAAGTTTAATATTTATCAAATATTCTATACATATATAACCGAAATTTCAACCGAGATCACTGAGTGCCGTGACACCCCACGATCATACAAAGATTAAATGATTTGAGGAAACTAGATTTGATCAAATCACCAAATTGGAATTATATTTAGATCAAATCATCTAAATGGACGTAGCATTACTATTGCAAATTTCTATTAGGAAGCCTTTGATCATATTAGATGAATATGTACAATCCAGTATTGATTGTTTACATAGTAAATGAGTATCCTGGGGAATTTGCAACCTTGCCCCTTGTTTATTTTTTTCTACTTATCTACTTATACTAACTTTATCACTATATAATATAAATTTAGAGCATTCTATAAGCTCTAAATTGGTATTATTATTTTTTTATTTTCGCAAAGTTGATAATTTAATTTGTTATTTTACAAATCTTCTAACATGTTTTTGGATTACCGAATCTTTTCAATTAGGTAATCTAGAATCCTTATGCACGAAGATAATCAATTCAATCACTATTATCGGGCTCTATTATGAATTTTTGACAACATGCTCAATAGAGTGTTCTTATTTCTTCTTTCCTTCTCCGGGCTTTGATTATGGAAGAAGCTAGGAACCGAGAAGAAGATATCAACACTAACAAGTTACTTGGATTACTAAATGATGAGAAAGCAATTTAACACTTCTACAAATATTTTTTTAAAATAAACTATTAACTAATACTCCCTCAATTCCATATTAATTAAATTTTTGAGGTGTTTCACACCCTTTAGACAAAGTAGATTAAGACATAAATTGAACATAGTTTTTCATTTTTAACCTTATTAATTATTCTCAAATTTATGATTAAAATAACTATATATTAATTAATCACTAATTCCAATACTAACTAATGAAGGGTAAAATTGGAAAAACACTCTAAAAGTAGTCTTGAAAACTGAACAATTAAGTTAATTTGAAAAATGAAAAATGTCTCAAAAATTAAATTATATGGAATGGAGGGAGTATAATATAAATATTATCAACTGAAGTTGCTTGTCTTTTCAATCATATACACAAACAAAAACTATTATCAACTAATATAATGATAAACATTATCAGCTGAAGTTACTTATCTTTTCAATTGCATATACACAAACAAAAAACTAACAACATATATCAACCATATTGGATTACAAAAGATGCAAACATAATTTGAATTGCTCATCTTCATATTCAATTATGTATTAAACTATCAGAAACAAGAAAATTGGCAAGGTGAACAATGCACAACATGAAAAGTAAAATATAAATAGGCGAAAATATTCTTAAAATATTGTTGAACTTTTATATCCTCCTAAAATTGAACATTCCTTAAATATAAATACACAAAAACAAATATTAAATATTTATCTTAAAAGAATTGTCTTGAAATATCAAAATGATTATTATGATACGTGCATTTTAGTATATATATATATATATATATATATATATATATATCTAAAACTAACAATATATCACTATAACGTAGACATTCATTAGAACACTAATTAAATTGAATGGTCAATGGCACATATATGATTGTATTTATACATTCTAAAATTGAAGAATATTTCTCAATTCTAAAGTAAATTTGCTTTATCAATTAAATTTAAATTCATGTAAGTAACATAAATGCTATAAAGTCTAATACTTAAATATGAATAATATAAAATTTATTTTTCCTGAAATGAAAGAGGAATAACAGTACTAAAGAGAAAAAACATACAGTAATGAAGTTGGATAAAAATGTAAAACTTTGTAAGAGGAGAAACTTTTAGTAGAGAAGTTAAAGTTTTCTGCGTTGCTAATATTCCCATTTTACAACTCAAAACTTTTACTCCCTCGATTTCTTTTTATATGTCATCCTTCTTATAAATAGTTGGTCTATAATACTTGTCATTTCATAAAGGGAAAAGGAAAAATATACCCCCACTATATTTGTTTCAGAACTTCTAACCTCAAAGAAAGAATGCCAAATTGAAAGTTCTTCAATCTATTTGCCTCGAAGATGAAGAGCCATTCTAGATCTACAAATATGGAAAGAGGATCTGAATGTTAATATAAAAAGCAGTGGTGTATATTTGATTGACAGTGAAGGGTAAAATTGTCAATTTATATTTTTATTCAGGTATTAGTTATTCATGTATGACTTATTCCATCTTTTACCCTCCATAAAATAATACATAGATTGACTCATAACTTCAACATGTATTAGTTATGTGGTTTTCTAATTTTCTAACCAAACATAGTATTATGTGTGTTGAATTTTATACTTTGACAAAAAAATGCTACCAAACATGGTAAAACCTATGCAATATTTTATACCTGAATAACTCAACCCTTATCCAGTAACCAAATTGTCCCTTATACAATAATCAAACGGCCCCTAAAGAACTTTACGCGCGATCATTCAATTTATACTATAGTCTAGTGGTAGAATCGAGACTTTCTTCAAACACTAGATGCGCATAAAAATTTCTACCAACATTCTGAAGTCTCTTCTCCAAAAGCAAAACTCCGGCAGACATAATGCCGTTGACACGAGAAGAAAAAGTTAGATGGTTTATTGCTGCTTTTGTTTTTCACATCATTGTGGCATTTTGTATTTTCATGCGGCATGGACTCAATATTACTATTTCTGGATGGGTGTTAGGGATAATCCTCCATTTATCAGTGTCCCTATTTTGAATGTATATGTTGGTCAACCTATAGTTCCTCCAAATTTTGTCAGAGCAATGGAAGCATTGGGATGGTTGGGGAACTTTATCGTAGCTCACATGATTTCTACCTACCTGACATTAGATACTGTATTATATTTGGCAATTTCTTTTGGCCTGATTATATTTTTTTGCTGGTTGAGGCTGTTGAGGCCGGTTGCCAGTGACTGGGAACAGTGACGGCTCAAGCTTCGTCTAAAGCCAAAAAAAAGTTGGAGACCTAAACTTTAATTATTTTTTTATATCTGAGATTCAAGCTATTTCTTTTTTTTAATAATTTTTTTTTAACTTTTTTATGATCTTAAACTAAAGATATATATATATATACCAAAATATTTTT